ATTAAAAAAAGGAATACAGGTCAATGGAACAAAAATTAAGAGTTCAGAAATAAACTTTCATATTTATCATCTACTGATTTTCAACAAGGCTGTCGGGACCATTCAATGGGGAAAAATAGTCTTTTCAATAAATGGTACTGGACCAACCAGGTACCCCCATACAAAGAAAGAACTTGGGCCCATCTCACACCATACACACACAAAAAAATTTAAAAATGGGTTAAACTCTTAAATGTAAGAACAAAGTATAAAACTATAGAACTATAAAACTCTTTGAAGAAAGCGTAGGTGAAAATCTCTGTGACCCTGGAATTGATATGACACCAAAAGCACAAGTAAAACCAAAGGAAAAAAAGAGATAAATCAGACCTCAATTATCGAATTAAGAATTGGTGTGTGTCCAAGGACAGTATCAAAATGAAAAAAGAGGGGCGCCTGGGTAGCTTGGTTGGTTGAGTGTCCAACTCTTGATTTCGGCTCAGGCCATGATCTGGAGGTTCAAAAGTTCAAGCCCTGTGCTGTTCAAGCCTGTTCGAGCCTTGTCAGTCAGTGTAGGGCCTACTTTGGGATTTTCTCTCTCTCACTCTCTTGCTGCCCCTCCCCTGCTTATGCGCACACATTCTCTGTCTCTCAAACTAAATAAATAACTTAAAAAAAAAAAAAGAAAAAGAAAAAGAAATGGGGCTCCCGGGTTGCTCAGTTGGTTAAGCCTCCGACTTTGGCTCAGGTCATGATCTCGTGGTTCGTGAGTTCGAGGCCCGTGTCTCGAGCCTGTTTTGATTCTGCGTCTCCCTCTCTCTCTCTCTGCCCTCCCTCCCTTGCTCGTGCTCTGTCTCTCTCTTTCTCAAAAATAAACATTAAAAATTTTTTTTGAAATAAGAAAATGAAAAGACAACACACAGAATGGGAGAAATTATTTGCAAATTATACATCTGAGAAGAAACTGGTTTCCAGAACATATAAAGAATTCCTTAAGTTTGAGCCCCACATTAGATGTAGAGATTCCTTAAAAATAAAATCTTTAAAAAACCCATAAGGGGCACCTGGGTGGCTCAGTCGGTTAAGCGTCTGACTTTGGCTCAAGTCATGACCTCGCTGTTCATGGGTTTGAACCTGCGTCAGGCTCTGTGCGGACAGCTCAGAACCTGGAGCCTGTTTCAGATTCTGTGTCTCCCTCTCTCTCTGCCCCTCCCCCCACTCAGGCTCTGTTTCTGTCTCTCAAAAATAAATAAACGTTAAAAAAAAAAAAGCCGTAAAAATGGGCAAAGGATCAGAATAGATATTTCTCCAAAGAAGATATGGCTGGGAAGCACGGGAAAAAATGTTTAACATCACTATTCGTTAGGGAGATGTAAATTAATCATGAGATAACCAGTTTGCACCCACTAGGAAGCCTAAACAAACAAAAAAAAAGGCAGCCAGATAATAAAAATGTTAGTGAAGACGTGGAGAAGTTGGAACACTTTCACGTCACTGCTGCGAGTGGAGAACGGCACAGCCACTATGGAAAGCAGTTTGATAGTTTCTCAAAACGCGAAACTGAGTTACCACATGGCCTAGCAATTCCATACCTGGGTATGGATCCCAAAGGATTGAAAACATGTTCACACAAACACTTGCACACCCACGTTCATAGCAGCACTTTTCACAATAGCCAAAAAGTGGAAATAATCCAGATGGACCTCAACAGGTATGGAGATAAACAAAATGTAGCTTATCCATACAGTGGAATATTATTCCGCCATAAAAAAGGAAAAAAGTACTGATTTGTGTTACAACATGGATGAGTCTTGAAAAAATCGTGCTAAGTGAAAGAACCCAGGCACAAAGGGTCACATATCGTGTAGTTCCATATTTATTTATTTATTTATTTATTTATTTATTTATTTATTTAATGTTTATTTATTTTGAGAAAGAATGAGCAGGGGAGAGGGAGAGGGAGACAGAAAATCCCAAGTAGGCTCTGCACTTGTCTGAACAGAGCCCCAATATGGGGCTTGGACTCACGAATGGTGAGATCATGACCTGAGCTGAAATCAAGACACTCAACTGACTGAGCCACCCAGGCGCCCCTGTATAATTCCATTTATGTGAAATGTTGAGAATAGGTAACTTCATAGAGACAGAATTTAGATCAGTGGTTGCCTAAAGCTAGGAGTAGTAAGAAGTGGGCAGTGACTGCCATTGGGTATCTTTAGGGGGTGACAAAAATGTCCTAGAATTAGGTACTGATGATGGCTGCACAACTGTGAGTATACTAAAAACCAGTGAACTGTATATTTCAAAGGGCAGATTTTATGCTAAGTAAATTATATGTCAATTAAAAACAAAAGGAGGGGCACCTGGTGGGCTCAGTTGGCTAAACGTCTGACTTCAGCTCAGGTCATGATCTCACAGCTTGTGGGTTCGAGCCCCGCGTCAGGCTCTGTGCTGACAGCTGCTTGGGATTCTGTGTCTCCCTTTCTCTCTGCTTCTCCCTCGCTCACGTTCTGTCTCTTTCTGACTTTCAAAAATTATTATTTTTTAATGTTTATTTTTATTTTTTGAGAGAGAAAGAGCATGAGCAGGGAAGGGGCAGAGAGAGAGGGAGACACAGCATCTAAGGCAGGCTCCAGGCTCTGAGCTATCAGCATGGAGCCCAATGCGGGGTTCGCACTCATGAACCACGAGATCATGCCCTGAGCCGAAGTTGGACATTTAACCAACTGAGCCACCCAAGCGCCCCTCTGACTTTAAAAAATTAATAAAACGTTAAAAAAATAAAAAACAAACAAAAAAACTCCAAAAGGTAAAAACTTATTTTGGTGATGATCAGACCTTAAAGTAAGGGGGATGAGCAATGTGTTAAAAATTAATATTGAAAGAGAATAGCCCAGACCATTTGTAGGAGGGATGGGGCAGGTCGCCGAGAGTCAGATTCTTGTGTCAAGGAAGACTCAAATGGGTGGAGCCAGATCGGTGCCCAGATGTGTCTGCTTCATGAGCTGTCTGCTTGCAGCTTCTAGCCCTGCGTTGCCCAATGGGCAAACCACTAACTCCCGTGGATATTGCATGCTTGAAATGTGGCTGGTCTAGGGGCACCTGGGTGGCTCAGTCCCTTAAGCATCTGACTTTGGCTCAGGTCATGATCTCGTGGTTCATGGGTTCGAGCCCCATATCGGGCTCTGTCCTCAGAGCCTGGAGCTTGCTTCAGATTCTGTGTCTCCCTCTTTCTGCCTCTCCCCTGCTCACTCTCTCTCTTTCAAAACTAAACATTAAAAAACTTTTTAAATAAAAACAAATGTGGCTAGTTTGAATTAAGATGTACTATGAAAGTACAACACACGCTCGGTTTTGATGACTGTAAGATGAAAAGAATATAAAGTACCTTAATGTCTTTATGTTCATTATATAATTAAATCATACTGTTGAAGACATATTGGGTTAAGTATATGACCAATTTTGCCAGTTTCTTTTTACTTTCTAAACCGTGACCACTAAAAAATTGAAAATTCTATTTGTGGCTCGCATTTATATTTTCATTGGACAGTGCTACTCAGTGGGCCCCTGGGGCAGCATAGGAGAGGGTGGCATTAATTCATTCACTAAATAAAATTTCCTTGAGCATCCTTGGTTGAACTAGCCTGAGGCTGATCACCGGGGCCGATGGTTAAGCTGGAGAGGGGGTATCACCTGCACTTTTTAAAAAATATTTGGGGCGCCTGAGTGGTTCAGTTGGTTAAGTGTCTGAGTTCAGCTCAGGTCGTGATCTCGCAGTCTGTAGGTCTATGGGTTTGAGCCTCACATGAGACTCTGTGCTGACAGCTCAGAGCCTGGATCCTGCTTTGGCTTGTGTCCCCCGCCCCCGCCTTCTCTCCCCAGCTTGTGCTCTATCTCAATAATAAATAAACAAAACAAGTATCAAGCAATAAACATTAAAAAATATTTATTCTTTTTTAAGTAGGCTCCACGCCCAACCTGGGGTTTGAACCCCTGACCTGGAGTTCAAGAGTCAATATTCTGCTGACTGAGGCAGCTAGGTGCCCCTGACCTGCACTTTTAATCCTAAAGGTTAGGCAGGCAGGCGTGTGTGGTATCCCTTCCCTCTTGGCTGAGAGCTTGATGCCTTCCTCACTAGATCCAGATGTGCCTGAAGGTCTGTGACTAATTAAAAAATCTGCAAGGCATGGAGATTAAAAATAGCAGAAAAGGGTGGGCATCTTGTGTATTTTGAGGAGCTTTATTATTTAAGTGGAACCCCAAGAGGCAGTACCTTCAAAAGCTTAGTCATAAAATCCAAGATATATATTTGATATGTTTTGGTCAGACCTGAGGAGGGGCTGGAGGAGAATCAAAAATTGTAATGCAAACTCCAGAAGACTGGAAACTTTATCAAATTCATTCTCCTTGGCGCCTGGACCGGTGCCGGGCACACAGTAGGCGCTTCTTAAATACCTGACTAAAGTAAGATGCACACACATTTTGTGGATTGAAGGGTGAATTTTCCAGAGGAGACGCTGCTGGCTTTTGTCAGAATCCAAGGAGACTCGTAGGCCCCCAAAGAGTTAAAAACCACTTAATACAGACAGGGACATGAAATTTATTTGAAATCAATGTCAAGAATTCGTTGTTCTTATTCTGGGGAGCGGCCAGACTTCGGCGTCTGGAATGATCTACGTGCTTAAAAATACCACTCGCCACCATTTTCTCCAGGTAATTTTCCATCCCTGCCCCCACAGTCAAGGGGGAAAAAGTAATTCTGAAATCCTACCTATTAAAAAAAAAAAAAAAAAAAGGAGAGAAACGAAGCGGTAAAACGGCGAATCTCCAGGCACACCGAGAGCCCCGAGGAAGAAAGGGACCCACGCGGGCCTCGGGCGCCGCCGGGACCCAGCCCCCCAAACTTTGCCAAGTTGCGGGCGCCGAGCGCGGCCGGAGGCGCGGGGCGCGGCCGCGGGCGGAGCCGCCCCCTGACGCCGGGCCGCGGCGCGCCGGGCCGCCCCCTCCCGGCCCGGGCCGGCCCCGCTGGCTCCGCTCAAAGTTTGCGGCCGCCCCTGCGCCCGCCCGCCCGATGTATGGGTGATATACTGCAGCGGGTGTCAGGGTGAGGGACGGCCATATTTGCCGGTGCGGCCCGAGCCGTCAACAACAAAAAGTGCGCGGGAGCTCGGCGGGCGCACGGACGGGCGCTCGGACGCCGGGCCCGCCTCGCCGCCGCCCGGCCTCGCCGCCGCCGCCGCCGCCGCCCTCGCGGGCCTGGCCCCGCGGCGCCCCGGCGCGCCCCGCCGCTCGGGGGGATGTCTTACAAACCGAACTTGGCCGCGCACATGCCCGCCGCCTCCCTCAACGCCGGTGAGTGAGTGCGCCCCGCGGGCCGCGTGCGCCGCGCCCCAAGTGCAGCCAAGTTGGGGGCCGGCGCGCCCGGCCCCGGCTCCCGGGGGCCCGCGGTGGCCGGGGGCGCCGGGTCCCGGCCCGGGGCAGCGCGGCGGCCGCCGCCATGATTCCGGCGCCCGGGCCGCCAAAGTTCGCGGGGGCGCCCCGCGCCGCGGCGGGAATCGGCTGGGCCGGGGCCGGGGGCGCGGGCGGCCGCCGCGGTCCCCCCCACGCCGGCGGCCGAGGGATCGCGGGGAGCGCGGCGGGCGAGGGCGGGGGAGGCTTTTCTCTGCTCCTTTTTCCTCCGGCTTTTGGGCGGCTCGGCGAGGGCCCCTGCCGGCGGGAGTCGGGAGCGGCCGGGCCACGCCGGGAGCGGGGCGCGGGGCGCGGGGCCCGGGCCGCCCTTGGGGAGCGGGGGCGCGGGCCCGGGTTGGGGGTCGAGGGTGGCGGGGGGGGAACCCGGGCCGCAGGGGTGCACGAGAGCAAGGCCCAAGCCATGCGTGGGCAGGGCGGGGGCGGCCCACGTGCCAGGTGCGGGCGCCCCTGAGGGCGCGGGGCCGCTGGGGTCACCGGCGGTGGGACTCGATCGTCAGAGGGCGGGGTGGGGGGGCCTCGGCCGGGCGCGCCGGAGCAGGGGTACCCGGAACGCGGCACGCCGGAGGTCCCCTCAGGCGTGCGCGGAGTGACAGAAGTTGGAGACTGGGGGCTCCGGAGTGCCTGCGGGCGGTGGGCTGAGAGCGGCGTTTCAGTGCAGACCCCGAATCTCGGAGCCCCCAAGTCTGGGCTTAGAAGGCCCCTTCTGCGGTAGCCAGGGAATGAATGGGAGGGGGCGTCCTCTCCCTTCCCGGCGCTGGACCTGGGCGATCCCAGAAACTCCTCCAGAAGTTGTCAGGAGCTTTAGGCTGTGCCTAGGGGCTTGCCCCAGGGATCAAGGGAGACACGGGGTGGGCGGGGGTGGGGGTGGGGGGAAGAAAATTGTGAGTTAGGGTGTGACCCAGGTGTGGCCTGGGTCTTTTCTCCTTTAGACACTTGGTTAGAAATAGACTTCCAGAAAAGCAGGCGCGTTGGAGGGGGGAGGGGGCAGAGGCCCTGTGGGGGAGGGGATTGGCCTTGCTGGTCAGAAATGCCACGTTGGCAGTTGGCCGCAAGTTTTGGGCCTTGTCTCCAAAGGATGAGTCCATAAGTCCAAAAATCTGAAGAGGGACCCCGAAAATCAAGTATATGTATTTTAAGGTACGGGACAACGATTGGGGGGTTGGAAGGGGTTAAGATGCAGGGTGCGGTGGGGGGCATAGTTGAATTGGTTAACTTTGGTTACTGAGTCCCAAGAGCAAACAAGCCACTATTTTCTCAAATGTTCTCAGCACCTTTGGGGTCTGCAGACCTTACAAAGACAGGCGTTGGGGCCCAGGTGGGATCTCTGCCTGACTCCCGCGCCCGTCTCCGGGGTGGGCGGGTGGAAGGTCTTGCTGCCCACCTGGACCCCGGAAACCTCAGGCCTGCCCTAGTGTAGTTGAGGCAGGTGCCTTAAACTGGGACCGTTGGGGATTGGGGTCAAGTGCCAGGGGCACCCACTCAGGACCCCTGACGCCCTGTTCTGGGCTGGCTGGCACTGTGCACAGGTTTTCTTCTATGGAGAATTCCAGGAGGACCGCTGAAGCCCCCAGCTAATCTGGTGTTTCGGTGGCGGGCTGTGCCCTTCCCCGTGGACCCTTTAGAAAGCCCCAGTCTGTCCCTGCCATTTGCATCCAAGATGGACTCTTCGCTGCCGCTCCTCCGGCTTCCTTGTCATCATCCCTCACGCCCTCCAGCCCTGCCTCCGCGCGGGTTGCCAAGCCGCGGCCTGGCCGGCGGTGGCGGAGTTAGACAAAGCCCCCGCCTCCCCGCCGGAGAGCACATCCCCCCTCCCCAGGCGCCCCAAGTGGCGGGAAGGCCGCCAGCTCCCCAGGCCCAGGCTGCTCTTTGTCTGGCGTGGGGGCGGGGAGCTGCGCCTGGCCCCAGGAGCTGCTGGCCTCTGCCAATCCCTCCCTCGGCTCCGGGCCCTCCCTGGTCCCCGCACACTGCGCGCATTGTCTGTGATGCTCAGAGACAGCCGTGCTCACGCCCAGTCTGGTTTTCTCCCTGGCCTCCTGCAGCCCGATGCACCGGCTCCGTGTGTCCGCAGGAGTCGAACTCAGGGCCCTTCTGCCAACTCTCTCCAGGGCCACAGAGGCTCCCCCCCCGCCCCCACCTTCAACACCGAGTAAGGGATTGGCACTGGCACAGAATCGGGGTCATGTACTGCGTCACCTGGCGATGGGAGAGGCAAGCCCAGAGCTGTTGTCTGACCCTCCCCCCAGCCCGAACTGGGCAGTTTCTCCTCCCTCTCCCTCAGCCCCCCCCCCCCCGACCGAACCCTAGCCCCGTGGAAGAGTGGGACCTAGAGCGTTTAGACATTCTGTTGGGAACCATTCCCTTAGACAGATGGAGAAACTGAGACCCAGAGAGGCAAGGCCCTAGTCCAAGGTCACACGGCCAGCAGTGGCACAGCCAGACCGGCTCCTGGCCCAGGCCTTCGTCACTAGGAGAGAGGATGGGCCGCAGAGGCGAGAAACAGGGACACGAACGACAAGAGGTGAGGGCGAAGGGTAGTGCAGGGAACGCACCCCCGAGTCCCATTACCTCCTGCCAGAGAACTGGAATCTTCTAGACACTTGAGGTGCTCTGTGGTGATCTGTCCCCTGTGGCCTGGACATTTAGCATCCTGGCCTCGGAGAGAGGCCAATGTCTTGTAGCGTCAGGACTGGGACCCGGGCCTGGGGCTGCAAATGCCACTCACTGCCCGCATCAGAGGGTTCAGGAAGTTGGGGTTTGGCTGATGGGGCGAGGGGTGCTTGGGGTGCATCCACCCTGCCCTGTTCCTGTGCTCGGGCTGCCGCACGTGCGCGGTTGCCTTGGATGGAGGTCACGGATGTGCTAGTAGTGCGCCCCTGTCCTGAGCGGCACGCGCCCGTGGCCAGGTGTTTTATCATCCCCACTTTAGAGGCATGGCCACTGAGGCTAGGAGTGGCCCAGTGATGTGCCTACCGAGCAGCTTAGAGGTGGCAGAACCTTTGTTTCTTGACTGGGCATCCCACATTTGAGCCTAAACCTGGGTCCTGGGGCGTGGGGGTGGGTGGGTGGGTGAGATCCAGGGCAGGCCTGAGAGCGAGGAAGGCATTTTGGATACAGAGCTGTCCCCAGCTCCTGGAGGGAGGGACAGGTGTCAGGGGGCCAGCCTCCTCTGTGCCATGTGGCTCAGGGGACCGCCTCCCCTCTCTGGACTGTTTGTCTCTCTACAGAGAGGGGCTCCAGGCCCCCCCTCGGGCCCCTTCCACTCCATCCGCCTGAGCCCCTGAGCCTCCTTCCTCCCCTTCCCTCCCCTGCTCACACCAGATGAGCAGCTGGTCGGTTTGGCCAGCCTGGCACCAGCTGTCCATCCCCGGGGCCAAGTCTGCGTAGTCCGCCGTGTGCGCGAGACCGTTCGGCTCTGGGGGCGGCAGGCAGAGGGGGAGCTGCTCCTCGACTGGGCGTGGAGGCAGGCGGCGGCCGCCGAGGAGGGCTAGGTAAATTCTCCATGGTTACCGCTGCTTGTAATTCTGCAGGACATCCTCTACCCGCTAATGGCCACTTGGACGCCATTATGGGTCTGCATGCTTCCAGCTACTGAGCTGGAGCCGGAAACTCCCTGCTGATGACTCCCCAGCCCCCATCCAGGAGTCTCCATTCTTAGCTGGGTCCTGTCCCCACGTGGTCCCTCACGGCCAAGGGACGGTGTCTTCGAGTGTTGCAGTCCACAAACGGGGCCTTCTCCCTCCCCTCTTTGGATGTGAGCCATCCGGGCATCGAGTCAGACCGTCAGGAGTCCTGTCCCCTCTCTGGGGAGGGGGCCCTGGGGGCTCAGGGAGATGGAGAGGCTTCTGGGGACACAGGGAAGCTGTGATACCCTCTGGATCCCGGACTTGGTGTCCAGTGAACCCATCTCCAGCCAGGGTTGTGTCTCATCCTCCAGACCCTCTGTCTGCCTTCCTTACCGTGTGGCCAGCAGAGATTTGGGCACACGACAGGTTTTAGCCTGATGCAGACCAGCCGTAGGAGCCGGTGGCCTCTTGTGGCAGTGATGGGGCTCTAGGTCATGAACCTCTGGGGAGCGGGACCCAGGGAAAAGGGACTAGCAAGGATTAGGCTGAGAGCGGCAGCGGGTTTCATCTGCGCTACCCATCCTGACTGCATGGATGGGAAGTTGTGTGGCTGATGAGTGGCGTCCTCTCCGGTGGTGGCTACGAGGAGCAGTGAGCTGCAGCCTACGATTCATCTGGGCTGCGTCGGCCATCACCAAACTAGAGGACGGGAGCAGGGTGTCTGTTGTATCCTACGAAGACAAAAGACCACTGTTGATGGCATGGGTCTTGGGCAGGGGGACTGTTGCAAGACCCAGAGTCTTTGCTTTGGGCACAACTACACGATTCCTGACTCTTCTCTCCTCCCCCATAGCTGGGAGCGTGCACCCGCCCTCCACCAGTATGGCCACATCCTCACAGTACCGCCAGCTGCTCAGTGACTACGGGCCACCATCTTTAGGCTACACCCAGGTAGGCAGTGGGGGGCTGCCTGGCACGGGGGGGTGGGGGCGGCTCTGGGGCTGGCCTGGCCACTGAGGGGCCGCGCTTCCCACCGTCCAGGGCGGGGAGCCAGTGGGACAGATGAAGGAGTAAAAACGGTGTAACGGAGCAGCCGTCTGAGCTTTCTGGCTTGGTGTTGTGTTCAAGTCTCGAGGCCTCAGAGCGGGGGGTGGTTTGTGGGGGCACCGACAGATGGGGGGTGGCAGCGGGGTCATGGGGGCACCGAGAGATGGGGGTGGGAGAACCCAAGGAAAGGCTAGAAGCCTGCTGTTTCGTTGGTGCCACCGCCCGTGTGTGTCCCTGGCTGGGGTCTCTGATCCCTGGTCTTGGGGAAGTGAGGCCTGACCTAGGTTCTCCTCTGGACAGAGGAGAGGGGACCCTTGCCTACTTCCTCCCCACAAGGTCATGGCCCCAGCAAAGATAGAGGACGGCCCGTATCCTCCTGGAGCCCAGATGCACTTCATCGGGGGCTGGTGGCTCTTCAGCCAGGCTGCTTGGGTTTCCACCTGATTCTGCCACTTATGAGACTGGCCCCTGCTTGGCGACCTCGCAGAGATCCCGTTCCTCACCACTGAGCGGGTCGACGCTGGCACTGGCCTCACTGCCTGTCCCTCGTGGAGGGACCTGGCCAGGCCGTGGCCGTGGTAGGGTTCTCTGCCGCCATGGGAACGTGGCTGCGTTCTGAGGTCGCCGTGGAGGCTGCCCCTGGGATGGGGTGGTGGCCGGCCATGCTGTCCCAGGGGCAGAAGTGGGTGTGGGCGCGGGAGCGCAACTGCCTGAAGAATCCGCGGCGGCGCGGAGGGCGCTGAAGAGCTGGGCAAGGACAGGCGGGGGCCCTGGAGGCCGGGAGGCAGAGGCAGCGGAGGAGGAGGGAGGAGCAGGCGGGGCCACGCTGGGGTCCGCGGGGACCCCCGCCGCGCTCATCGCGGTGCTTGCTTGGGTGGAGGGTGGGATCTTGAGACAAAGGGGTTTAGTGGGGTGGGCCCTGCCGGGTGGGGAATTGGAAACCATTCTGGATTCTCTCCAGATGGGCTTTGGCAGTTATTTGTAGTCCTCCTGACCTGAGGGGTGGCCCCTGCCTCGTGCACCTGCTCTGGGCGGCCCTTCGCCCCCCCCCCCCCGCCCCGCCCCGGGATGTTCTGGCACGTTCACCTGGGTCCTTGGAAACTCCCGGTGTTACCCTTTCTTGCCCAGAAAACCAGTCCTCGTTTTTCCTCGTTTGCGATGATAAAAGCTCCGTGGGCCGCAGAGCGTAAGGGATGGCAGACAGGCCCCGCAGCCCGCACCCTCCGGGCCGGCCTCTCCCTGCCCTGCCCTCGCTGCTGCGGCTGGCTCGTGGTAGGGCCCTGACCGTGGCCTTGGGGTCAGGTTAGGGTTCGGTCCATCTAAACTCTTCCTTCTCATTCTAGGGAACTGGGAACAGCCAGGTACCCCAAAGCAAATACGCCGAGCTGCTGGCCATCATCGAGGAGCTGGGGAAGGAGATCAGACCCACCTATGCGGGGAGCAAGAGCGCCATGGAGAGACTAAAACGAGGTGAGTCGTGGGCCCCGGACTCCCCAGACGCGCGCCGCCCCCCTGCTGGGTGCTAACTGCTGGGAAGGATTTTCTGGGAGGAGAGTCCCCCACACCCCAGGGGCTCCCTGGGCTCCCATGTGGCATGTCGGCAGCAGGCAGGGACAGCGGGGGCAGGCATGTGGGATGGAGACCGTCCCTGGGATCTGACGGGAAGGCCTTGCGCGCCTCCAGAGGGTCCACGTGCTTTAAACAAGGCGTCTGTGCGGCGCAGATCCTGCAGCGTTGTCTCCCGTTGGCCGGCACTGGTCCCGGGGAGCCGCAGGGGCCCAGACACACGAGGCTCCCTCCCCCGGGTGAGCCGGTGGCCAGGAGTCCTGCGGTCCTGGCTCTGTCTTGCCCTTTGCTGTGAGATCTGTGGAGCAGAGCCTGAGGGGGCGCGTGGGGCTGGCCCAGCCTGGGCAGGGAAAGCAAGAACACTGCGAAATTCTGTGATTGGAGGGGGAGGGTGGGCGGGAGCATGATGCCACAGAAGACAAGGGACTTCCATGAAGATGTGGCTGTCCGGCTGAGGACAGGAGCAGGTGAGGTAGGCTGCCCCCTCACTACGTGAGTCGGGTGGGGAGGGAAGAGGGTTTCTGGTGTAGAAGGTGGCAGTTCAGAGCAGCAGTGGCCTAGGTGCCAGTTTAATTTCAGAAGGGATCTGGGGTTTCTGAAGAAGGTTGGAGAGGCAAATTCAGAGAGAAACGAGAGGAACGTTCTGTGGTTATAAACGTGGGGCATCAAGAGGGGCTGCTGTGACCTTCGCCGCTCTTGACGAAGCCTTTGTGGGGATACCAGCTGACTGGCTGGTTGAAGGGCACAGGTGTGCGGGAGGGGAGCTGGCAGTTAGAGGCTGGGCCTGGAGAGGACTTGGGAAGCGGTGGGACTGACCCTGACCTAACCTGGGGGTGAGGTGGGCATCGCTCTGCGTCGGGGCTGCCGTTTGGAGTCCGGAGAAGCAAGACAGTCCTGGCACCTGATGTGCTGGTTCCCTGGGTGGAAATCTCTGGAGAGATACTGGACCCCAGAGTCGAGCAGGCAGTCTGCAGTCACCCAAAAAACCAGTGGTTCAAGTCAGCATACAGATAAGCCCGGGGACCCCTCCAGGGCATGTGTTGCGTGAGTAGCTGGTCCCATGGTCATGATCACCGATAAGCCAAGGACAAGCTAGCCAAGTTTATGCCATAACGAGGCGAAGAAGGGTCATAAAAGGCGCCCGGGAGTCAGGCGCACGGAGCTCGATCGGCACACTGTAGCCAGTAGGCCAAGAATGGTTTTTAGTTTGTAAGGTTAAAAACTGATTTCGTGACATGTAAAATTACTGGAAATTCACATTTCAGTGTCCATGAGTAAAGGTTTATTGGAAGATGTCCATACCCATTGCTTTTATAATGGCTGCTTCCTCTGTCGATATGGTGGCAGAGTTGAGTAGTTGTGATAGGCACCGTGTGGCCCACAGAGCTGGAGATATTTACTGTCTGGCCCTTTCCAGAAAAGGTCCTCTAAAGCTCAGAGATAAGAGTTGTGACATGTGGGACGCCTACGTGACTTGGGGGATGTCATTCACAGTGCCCTCCGGCAGTCATCTCTCAGGAGGAATAGATTCTTGGTGTCTATTAAAATGAGATCAGTATCTCAACGGAGTTCAGTAAAGGCCAAAACAAAAAAACTCCACCAACCAAACCGTAACCATCACTGCAGAGAGAAAGATGCACGGGGCGTATGTTGCAGGGCAGAAGGTGCCCGAGGCACGCCAGTGGGCGGACGTCACTGTGGACCACGGTCAAACATAAGTGAGCAGTCTTGCATCCTAACTGTGCAGGCTGGACATTGGACAAGCCCTTTCTAGAGTTTAGAATCTGAAGAAGCCAGAGGAAAATAATGGTCTGAAGTCATGGAATCTCCAAAGTGGGTCAGGCTTAATGAAAGCGGGAGACACGTTTACTCGAGTCATCTGATGGCATGACGTGACGAGAGCTTGCTGGCTGGCCGCTTGTGTGCGGGGAGGGGTTGTCAGGGAGCCAGGGAGAGGAGTCCTGGCCAGGAGCGAAGGCCTCCGAGGAGGGGACAGGATGCTGGTGGCTTTCCGAACCACTGGAATCCTGGGGTGGCTTGGATACCGTCCCCAGGTCCCTTCCAGGGTGAGGGTTTTTCAGCTGGGTTGTCAAGGGCCCTCTCTTTCTGGAAGGGCCCTGCCGCATGATTCTCAGCCTCTGCTTCTCTCCCAGGCATCATTCACGCCAGAGGACTGGTTCGGGAGTGCTTGGCGGAAACGGAACGGAACGCCAGATCCTAGCTGCCTGTTAGTGCGAAAGGTTTCCATCTTCCAAGAAGAGAAGTTCTAGCTCAGCTCCCACGTTCACAAGAAACTCTTTGTTTTCAATATGGTAACAGTTTGGTTTTTCCTTCCCGTGTCCCTTCCATGGTTCATGAGGCTCTAAGATTGAGAAATATTTTGCAGTTGATTAGGATTTACATTTTAAATAGTTAGGAATTACCCAAGGTTTTTTTTTCTTTTCTTACTTTTTTTTAAGCATTGATTTAGAAGATGCACGGAAAAGACACCTATCTCACAGCAAAGATACCAGTGTCTCCGTTTTATTCTCCATTTTGAATACCGTTATGTTACCCAGATTGTTCTTCGTTCCTTTTCATAAGCTAATAGAACAACTCCAGGGTTTGTTTCTAGTGCATACGTTTGCCACATGGTGTGGATTCCGCTTAATGTAACTTCTTTTGTGCTTAAGCATTTGCCTGCATGACTATTAGTGCTTTGAGGTCAAACTTAAAAATGCACAAGTTATAAATACAGAAGAAAGAGCAACCTACCAAACCTAACGAGAACCCCCAAAAATATTCCTACTAAGACTGTGTGTGGATTTCAGTTCTGCCTTTCCTGTAAGTTGATCCAAACATCTGGAAGAAAATGATTAAACCTGTTTGCATCTTTGTATGTATTTATTACTTGATGTAATAAAGCTTATTTTCATTAACAATTTGTATGAAGGTGTGGGTTCCTTGAATTCTGACGTGGGATCTTAAAAAAACATCTCCTCAATGGGAGTGGGAGATACCTGTCACAGAGTGTTTTCCCAGCTGGCCCAGAAACATTTTGTGTGACAATGCTGTTAACACCACGTGTGGAGGAAGGGATGTGTTTGCTTAAGTCAGAAGGTAGGGTCAAGTGCAGTAGTGTTCCAGCGCGTCTTAACTGCCTCCGACTTAAGTGTGCGCCGGGATGAATGCATTAGCGGAAGCAGTGTTACTGACTTTGCCCGCTGCCTCGCCCATGATGAGGCCATTCTCCATCTTGAGGTGCTTATCCTATGAACATTTCCGGGGTGCTAAAGGAATATTTTTCAGGGGTGCCTGGGTTGCTCAGTCGGTTGAGTGTCTGACTTCAGCTCAGCTCACGATCTTGCGTTTGTGACTTTGAACGCGTCCCCACCCCCCATGTCGGGCTCTGTGCTGACAGCTCGGAGGGTGGAGCCTGCTTCGGATTCTTGTGTCTTTCCATCTGCCCCTCCCCTGCTCGCGCCCTCTGTCTTAAAAAAATAAGGCCTTAAAAAAAAAAGGAATCTGGTTTTCATGTAATGCAGCCGCCAAACTCGAGCTGGCCTGTGCTCGCCGAAGGATGGGCTGCTCCTTGGCGGGAAAACTGGGTTGCGCCAGATGTGTTGAAAATCTGGTGGCCTCCAGCAGTGCCTTCCGAAGGGATTTGCGGTAATTTGACCACATCCCTTAGGCACTGATCCCGTGTAACGTGGATTCACTGTAGTGAGGGGGAGACAGAGACAAATGAGGGGCAGTTCTGCAGACGAAAGTCAAGGTCCCAGCCGTGTCTGATCTAATGGCTGCTAAGATTGTGTTCTAGGGAGCGGGCTTGTCTGCCTCTTTCGTGCACGTGACTGCAAGTCCCAGAAGGTGCAAGAGAGGAGACAGATTGAAACCTCTGTCCCTCCTGTCTGCAGCTCCCAAATTTCACTTCAAGTTACTGGCTTGTCATGTGCCATTCCAGGTACTTGGCTGCCTTCTGAATGGAGGTCTAGACGGGGAAGGGTCCTGGAAGCGGCTTAAACTTCCAAACCAGGTCACTGGAGGTGAGAAGAGCCTTACCTGGCTGCCCTGAAGGTAAACTGAGTTGGATCCATGCCCTGGGTGTTCCGTCTGTGCCTGTGGGAGGGGCTGGTTTTGACTGCGGACTATGTCTGACATAGGCCTGCTCACCTCATGGTTTTTTCCCCTACTTGTTTTATGGGTGAACTCCAGATGTGTTCTGACAAGCCAAGCTATTACCCTAAAACCCCCAAACAGTTGTAGGGTCAGGTCCAGCCTGAGTGATCGGTGTTGCACAAATTTGCAAATTAGGATCTGGACCTCCAGCTTGTAAATCTACATATAAACCAACATATAGGAAATGTTGGGTGTATTTTTTTTTTTAAGTAAGCTCTACGCCCCACGTGGGGCTCAAACTCACAACCCTAAGGATCAGGAGCCGCGTGCTCTGCTGACTGGGCCAGCCAGGCGCCTCAGTTGTGTATTTTCACTTCAGAAAGGATATTTGACAACATGCAGTCTATTAAGTTAATGGGGTAAACAGGCAAGTAACTTACTGACTTGTACATATTTCTCCACGTTTTCTTGTTCTCTTAGCATAACATTAAGCTAAGTGACATCAAGTGTCACCAAACAATGACCTCCCAGCGGATGAGGTGGCACTAAATGCCATTGATGTTTGACTCAGCTCCACAGTTCCCCCCCCAACCAGACCTTCCTTATTAATGTTTCCAAACAAGTTTTGCTTTTTTGATAATAAAAGAAGATACAATCACACAAATGTGTAGCTTAAAAAAAATATGGTGACATCCGTCTAATTACCGCCAGCCACCCAACATCCCTCCCCTAATTACGCTCTCTCTCTGAATAAATGAATAAAGTTTTATTAATTTTTAATAGTATTTTTTTAAGTTTATTTATTTTGAGAGAGAGAGTGGGGGGGAGGGGAGGACAGAGAGAGAGGGAGAGAGAAAAATCCCAAGCAGGCTCTTCACTGTCAGCACAGAGCCCAACGTGGGGCTTGAACCCATGAACCGTGAGATCATGACCTGAGCTGAAACCAAGAGTCAGGTGTTCAACTGACTTAGCTACTCAGGTGCCCCAAATGAATAAACTAAAAAAAAAAAAAAAAAGTTTTAAAAAAATGTTTATTTATTTTTGAGAGAGAGACAGAGAGAGACGGAGCATGAGCAGGGGAGAGGCAGAGAGAGAGGGAGACCGAATCTGAAGCAGGCTCTGGGCTCTGAACTGTCAGCACAGAGCCTGATGTGGGGCTTGAATCCGCGAACTGCGAGATCATGACCTGAGCTGAAGTCAGACGCTTAACCAACTGAGCCACCCAGGAGCCCCTAAACTTTTTTTAATATGCATCTATAAGGGCACCTAGGTGGCTCAGTTGGTTGAGTGTTGAACTCCTGATTTCAGCTCAAGTCATGTCTCACGGTTCATGAGTTCAAGCCCCGCATCGGACTCTGGGCTGACAGTGTGGAGCCTCCTTAGGATTTTCTCCCTCTCTCTCTGCTCCCCTCCTGCTTTCTCTCTCTCAAAATAAATAAAACTTTAAAAAACGCCCCACCATTGTTCCCTGTACACATCTGGCAGGTTCTTTAGTCAGAATCCGCTGTTCTTTCAGGGGCGCCTGGCTGGCTCAGTCGGTGGAGAGACTTGATCTTAGCATCATGAGTTCAAGCCCCACACTGGGTGTAGATATTAGTTCAAAACAAACAAACAAAAAAGGATTTCTGAATCTCAGTGGACGTTTTTACTTGATTCCCACAGTTCTTTCAGGAGTTTCTTTTTTTCTAGGGTTTCCTTTGCTCTTTTTTTCCTCTCTTGCTTTTTCTTCTCTGCCTCCCGTTTTTCTTTGTAAACAAGACTGTTTTCACCATTGTAGAAAATATCCACTTTCTGCTGTAGGGTTTTCCGGGCCAGCTTTCTGTTCTGATCCACTGATCTTGTCTGGTGGCACTGCAGGAGACAGGAAATTATAACGTGAGACAGTTCGTTGTGGACGGGACCTCAGACACCATGGCACTCAACCTGGTCACTTTATAGATGGGGACAGGCCAAGAGGCAAGGCCACTGGTCAAGAATCCCATGGAGTCTGTGACAGAACAAAGACCATGTGCCCTTCTGGCTCTGCTCTGCTCAGCCCTTGCCCTACCCCGCCCCCAGCGAGTGTATGATGTGGCTTTCTCTGTGATTATTTTATAATTAAGAGCATTGCTTTGTTTGGAAGCAATGACAGCAATAACGTACAGTCCCCAAATAGTTTTGAAAACATCAATTGCTGTGTCTAGTTGTGGCCAGGGAACAAATGCTCTGCATCATTTATAAATGTAAAAATCTGGGGGCGCCTGGGGGGCTCAGTCAGTTACGCGCCTGACTTCAGCTCAGGTCATAATCTTGTGGTTTGTGAGTTTGAGCCCCGCGTTGGGCTCTGCACTGATGTGCGGAGTCTGGGATTCTCTCTCTCTCCCTCCCTCTCCTGCTTGTGTTCTCTCTCTGAAAATAAACTAACTTAAAACATTTATAAATATCTCAAGGAGGGAGATAGCATCTTCATTGTTAGTCAGCCATAACATTGATTATGTCATACCTGAGTTATTAAGGGTGAGTGCCTTGCAAAGCTACCTGATAAAGAAGTCTGCGAAATCAGAGCGAAAGCATACTACTAAAGGCAAGTCTGCAGTAAGGTTATAAAATAGTTTAACAGAAATCACGTCAGGCTTCAGAATATTATTTGTTGCTCAGGAATGGACACTTTTTCTCAAGGAGGAAAAAAGCGATGGAGAAAAAAAGAAAAGCGAATGAGGTTTTAGTTGATAGGCTTCTCGGCTCAAAACCTTGGCGGTGAAGAGCAGCTGTTAGGAGCCAGACTCTGGGCTTGCCCTGGGTCGATGCCTGTGGCTGTAGGATCTTGGGCAAGTTACTTAACCTCTCTGTGCCCGATTCCACATTTGTACCACGGAAAAGGTGGGGCGGGAGGGCTCCCGAGGACAAAGGCTGACGGCGCACAGTTGCGCAGCGCCACCCCCTGTGCGGATGTGCCGACAGCCTCCGCCGTCAGTATCCGGCCCGAGGAACCCTGCATTTCCATCTCCTCTGCTCCCCTGGCCCTGCTGCCACTCGGGCCCTCTGCCCACTCAGAATGGACTGCCAGTTCCACTGAGGCAGCGGGCCCACTACTAACAAACCAGGAGAGCGGGGAAAAGCATTTCTGTATTTCCTAGGGCTTCGAAATGTGCCGAGACCTGGTGATGCTCTGATCAGAGACTGGTTTTCATACAAAAAAGGAAGACTCCTACAGGCAGCCGGCCATCTTGTATGTTACTTGAGGGCTAGAGAGGTGCCTCTGTTACCTCACTCTCAGAAGGGCAGGTATCACTGACGTTTTTTAAAATTTTTTTAACATTTATTTTTGAGAGACAGCGTGATCAGGGGAGGAGCAGAGAAGAGAGGGAGACACAGAATCTGAAGCAGGCTCCAGGCTCCGAGCTGTTAAGAGCCTAATGTGGGGCTTGAACTCATGAGCCATGAGATCATGACCTAAGTCGAAGTCAGCTGCTTAACCGACTGAGCCACCACGGTGCCCCATGGTGTCACTGACATTTACCCAAGAGGGGACAGAGGGACCCGGCCAGGTCACCAGGGGCTGGGATGGCTGGCTGCACCCTGGGCCAGCGTGCTGCTCGGGGACCGGAGCCCGCGGCAGCTCTGCCAGCTGTGTGCACCCTGTGGTTTGGCAAGGATGCGCTGCCCGCTGGGTGCCAGGCCAGCAGGCGTCCCCTGGTGTCAGAGGACCCCGGCAGGAGGCTTCTGAGGCTCTGCCCCAGGGCCGGAGCCGGGATCTGCAGTGCCCACCGCTGCCTGGGCGGCAAGGAGAATGCATGTCGGCTGGCCGCCGCCACCACTCGAGCCCCCCGAAACCCAGAGACCCCCGGAGGGCTTCCTCCTCTACCTTGACAACGATGCCCGAGGGGATGTGCTTCAGCACCACACAGTTGCTGGTTTTGTTGGTTGCCTGGCCTCCCGGACCGTGCCCTTTCACGAACTGCTCTTCAAGGTCACTCTCATCCAGGGGAGGCAGCGGGGCGGGGCGGTCCCTCTTGCCTGCCATCTGGACCGCAGTGACTGCCGCCCCCGGGGCTAACAGCGCTGGCTTCTCCCGAAGCCGCAGCCCCCATGGCGCTGTGCACATTCTGGCCAGCGGTGCGGACCAGCGCAAGAAACCCGAGGAACTCATGGAGAACGGCTCCGCGTGCTCAGGACCTGAGTTGGAGGAAAAAAGACAGCCTTTCAGGAAGATGTGTCTGCTCTCAAGATGACACTTCGGGCTTTAGGACAACCTTTTATAAACCAGTTCAGATGACGGCCACCCATCCGTCACCGAGGGTATTTAGGAAATGGGCAAAGATAGGACGTCGAGCGACGCATCGCCTTGTATTCATCTCCTGTGATCTTAGCAGCACACACCCTCCCAGCTGATAAATATTTTATGACGGACTCAAAATGTCGTCGAAGCACCCAGAGGTGCCGTTTTCTCAGGAAGGAGAGGTTTTGAGTGTGACATGCAACAGAACAGGGCCGTAATTCGATAAGGAGGTATGACACAGGGCATCAAGCAGGAATTAGGATCTGAGTCAAGCGACATGATTTCGACATTTGAGAATCTTTGGAATTAAAATGTAAAGACGACAGTATGCGAGTCTATTTTATAGCTGAGCTTAAACAGTCTGACATGGTAAATATCACTATCAATCAATGTCATGATTGTTGTTTTTTAATGTTTCCAGTTTCATGGGTTTGAATAGGAACATCTGTTCCCTCAGATGCACTGCCAACAATGTGATCCAAGTGGCTCTCTTCACTAGAGCCATCACACCAACGGATTTTTGGTAAGGTTAGGTTCAAAATGCCACACGGGGTGTAGTGAGTGGTGCGAGGTGGAAAAGAGCTAGCCTCTGTCTTCATGGAGCTTAGAGTCTAGTCAGAAGATGCTAAAAAAAGAAAGCAGTATTCATTTATTAGGACCTTTTTTTTAAACGCTTATTTATTTTTGAGAGAGAGAGAGAGAGAGAGAGAGAGAGAGAGACAGAGTACGAGCAGAGCAGGGGAGGGAAAGAGAGAGAAAGGGAGACACAGAATCGGAAACAGGTTCCAGGGAGACATAGAATCGGAAACAGGTTCCAGGCTCTCAGCTGTCAGCACAGAGCCCGAACTCATGAGTTGTGAGATCATGACCTGAGCTGAAGTCAGACGCTTAACCTACTGAGCCCCCCCACGCGCCCCAGGAAAGCAGTATTTAACCATCGAATTGAAATAGCTTCTTGAGACGTAGCAGAGGGCGGAAGCATCTCGCTGACAAGTAACAGTGGGGACGGTCAGAGCTCCCAGGACGTGGTGGACCCACGGGCCTTTGCTTTCCTCCAGGGAGGAGGGCAGATCGAGCGGAAAGACATAAGCTCCTTTCAAAGGTGGGTAAATGAGGCCCGTCTTCTTCTCTGGAAAATGGGTGAATAAGCCCTTCACCCATCGGGCACAGGCATAAAGATCAGAGGAAAAAAAAATCCTGGAAAGAGCTGTCGGTGAACACCTTTGGAGGCAGGAAATTTGTAGCAAAATTCGTGTCACTCAGGTGGATTATGGGAACTATGAACTTGATGCTTCTTGATCCAAGACGGTGTAAGCGCTAAAACGTGATGAACTGCCCTTTTTAACAACTGCTTCCTTTCAGACTTGAAATAGCTACTTTTACCACTTGAAACCCTGTAAATTCAAGCTGATGGCCCCCGGTCTCTAACATAGGTAGGAGGTAGAGTATGCCTAAGCCAAAAGTTGCTTAACCTGCACCAAATACTTTCCACAGGTTTGCTCTCAGCTCACTTACCTTCTGCCCTGGCAGGTCTGGCTGCTGACTTCCACTGAGCCCACGCGGGTCTCTAACAAGCTTTGAGGAAGCTCAATGCAGACACATAGTGCTGGGCATTGCTGCTTGTAAATATGTACGTGTACCTATCTGAGTAATGCGTTCAGCTGGCCCTGAGATGACACTGGCCATCTCTAGAGTAACAGTAAGTATTCATCTCTCTCTATGGAAAACAATAACAATGAAATCTACTTTTCAAGCCTTATGCCAATGCCAATTTTCAATTCTATGACTGACGTTATGGTCTAAACTCGTAACTTTCTTCTCTTCCTTCCTTTCAATAGATGTTTTTATTTTTGAGAGAGTGAGAGAGAGAGACTGCACGAGCTGGGGAAGGGGCAGAGAGAGAGGGAGACAGAATCTAAAGCAGGTTCCAGGCTCTGAGCTGTCAGCACAGAGCCCGACATGGGGCTTGAACCTACAAATGGGGAGATCATGACCTGAGCTGAAGTCGGACGCTTAACCGATGGAGCCACCCAGGCGTCCCTCAACTTGTAACTTCTTTCTGAAAAGTACACCGTTCAGCGTGTGGGTCAGTCCCGGGGGGTGAGGATTAGCGTGGTGTTTGTTGGTAAGATGCTGTGGCTGCTGCGAGGGGCTAGATTTTGAAACAGAGGGTGCCAGTGCCAGTGTCACTTAAAAACGATGACACCTGGGTTTATTTATTGTGTGTCAAATCTCTCCAAAGTCTGCTCAGGAGCGGAAAAACAATAAACCCATAAACTCAGGCACTTCTCTGAAATCGCTGCAACAAAGAATCCACCCCCTTATAACTGAGTGAATGAGATGGAGTCGATGCCCCAAATCCCCATTTCCCTTATTTCTGCTTTCAGTCCACAGAACAAGATTCCTTTGTGTACCAGACAGCATCTAGTCCCTGGATCAGATTCGTCATGAATTCGAGCCCAGGGCCTCCCTTGGGCTTTCTCTTCCGCTGGTTGGTAAATCTGACCGGGCAGGGCAGCCTTGGAATGGAGTGTAGGGACAAAGGAAGGAAGGGAGTCTGAGACAAGGCGAGACTCCCAGACAAAGGGCGGAGAGGAGAGTGCGTTTATCAGCTGCTTTGTCACTGGCCTTCTGCGTTTCCAGTCTCTACCTTTCTGTCCTAGTTCAGAGCCACACACACACTAGAAGGTCTCCCGCCTGACTGGAGTTCACGAGGGCCCCCGGTGTTCAGTTACTGGCTGTTTTGTTTAACAGCTAATTCTAACAGCTGATCGGACGGTTCTGAATACTTTAGTATCTCCTGGAGTGTTGGCTCTACTCCAGTGACTGCTAAAAATGACAAACTCACCCATGGTTCCACTTCCCCAAAGCCCAGAGAAGAATTCGGATTGGGTTTCAGTTTTTGTGACACCCGCTGAGCAACTCAGAGTCTTTGGGGAACAATACAAGCGGCTTCAATTAGAGCTCATCGTGACATTAAAAAGGAGAAAAGGAAAAGTGGTAATAAGAAGTGCTAGTAAGGGGAAACCGGGAGTGTGTCGGCTCGCCCCAGTCCCTGTCCGCGAGCGTGCCCTCCGTTCAGGGCCGGCTCTCCACCCCGGCCTGCCCTCCGTTCCTCTGACGGCTTCGGCCCCGAACAGCTGATGCAGTTTGGCTTAAAGCCTCTCTCACTGTCCCAGTCCCTTCCCACTTGGTCAAGTCAGAGATAACAGGCGTGAGGACTTTATAAAAGGGAACGTGAATCTGTTCAGTGCATATTTTCAACACCTACTAGGTGCCCGGCGTGGGCCTCAGGGAGCCCAGGGAGCCTGTCGCATAAATGAGAAATTAAGATGCCCCAAAATATGAGATGTGCTGTAGCCCGGAATGGAGAAGATGCTACAGAGAGCAGTGGTTCTCGGACTGTGCTGCGCCCAAGCCCACCGGAGTGCTTACTACAGGACTTGGAATCTGCATTCTGTTCAGCCGCCACCCATTCCCGCCTAGGAAGGCGTCTAGCTGCGGGGGTGGTGCGGTCGGCTCTGGAACGTGGCCTGTGACTGCAGCAAACCAGCCACACGGAAGCCAGACGCGGCGAGGTGAGGCCCGCTTCACTGGCAGCATTAATGCTCCCGAGATGGGCGAAGATGAGACGCTGATGCCTTTCCCATTGTGCCTCCGAGACAGAGAGGGATATCTGAATCTGTTTGGAGGAAGTCATAGGATTTCAATCTCTGGACTCACCTTCTGGATGCCATTGGCCCAAAATTCATGGTTTATTCTTCCGAGAGAGAGAGAGAGAGAGAGAGAGAAGAGAGAGAGAGAAAGAGAGAAAATATTTTTTCTTTAACCACAACTTTCATGTTACCTCAACCTCGGAGAAACTTCACCAAAGCCAACCGAAGGAACAGATGTGGGGGTGAATGGGGATGGGGTGCCTTAGGAAAGACGACTGCTAAAGCCCTCCCAAGACAGAGCCCTGGGTAATCCTGGGAAGTAGGATACCGCCTCCCTAGGCTTCGGGTGGGGCCCGAGCCTCTGCATTCCTAACCAGCTCCCAGGTGAGGCTCTTGCCTCCAGGAACCCCACTCTGAGAGTCATGGTCAAAAGCTCTGAGCAGCGCTGCTGCCTGTATGGTGGCGGCTCTTAGGACTGTCTCAATGCTGGATGGGAGTCCCCGAACGATGATGGAAAAGATGGAGATGAGGGAGGTGTGAAGGAGAGTAATGGCGGGGACAGAAAACATTCACAGGAAAAGAACTGAATGAATATTGATTTGAACAAATAGAGAATGTGAAATGGTAAAAAGGGGATTGAGAAATGGGGTCATCCGGAAAAAGAACACCGATAACGTTGTTTCTGTTACGTTAGTGTTCTAACTGGTGTTGTCCGATATGAACATAACATAGGCCATGTGTGAAATTCCAAATTTTCTAGTATCACCTTAAAAACAGTAGAAAGGGGTGCTTGGCCGGCTCAGTTGTGGAACATGTGACTTCTTGATCTTGGGGTCGGAAGTTCAAGCCTCAAATTGGGTGCAGAAATCACTTAAAAATAAAATCTTACAAAAAAACCCAGGGGTGCCTGGGTAGCTCAGTTGGTTAAGCCATCCGACTTTGGCTCAGGTCATAATCTCATGGTTCGTGGGTTTGAGTCCCACATCGGGCTCTGCGCTGACAGTTCAGAGCCTGGAGCCTGCTTTGGATTCTGTCTCCTTCTCTCTCTGTCCCTCCCCCACTCATGCTGTGTCTCTCTGTCGAAAATAAATAAGCATTAAAAAGATACATAAAAAAATAAAATAAAAACAGTAAAAAAACTGTGAAATTAATGTTAATGTATTTTATTAATTAATTAATTAATTTTTTACAAATAGTTTATTTTTTTATTTTTTATTTTTTATTTTTTTTACAAATAGTTT